TAGTATTTCAAATTCAAGATTTTAATATTTAGAAATTTATTGATAATATTATATTATAATTTTTATATAAAATTATTTAATATATTATTATAAATTTTATGAGTCTTAAATATGTTATTCTATCTAACTTAATAGATTTTTTCTTAAGCTCAAATATAACCTATTCAATTAATTAATTCTTTTAAAAATTTTAAATTAAGTCTATTACTTAAATTAGTCAAGTTAGACTAGGCTTTAAAAAGGTTAAGTCTTAAGCTATCTTGGACAACCTACTTTATTTTCATCTCTAAGTTATAATTAATACGTGGTTACTAAATAAATTACAATCCAATTAATATTAAAGGTATATCAACTATTTAATTGTCATTAATTGCTCATTGTGTAAATTTAAAAAAAGAAATTGAAAAAAATTAATTTTTGATCTTTTATTACTTTCTATCAAAATAATATTTTGTTTATAAAAAATTAATTTTTTAAAATGAACTCACTCTTTCATAGAGTTCAAATTAATGCTTGTACGTTACATTGATTAAAACTATTATGAACAATATTTTTTATGAATTTATTTTTATTATTGTTCTTTTAAAAGGAAAATATTTTATTTTTGCACATGCACAAAATTTGTGATTTTTCACAGAAATTATATACAAAATTTTATTATAAAGATGTAGATAATAATAATATCAACATGACAATAATAAAAATAAAACATTGAGATAAATCAATATGCATAATAGCTGAATTATAAATATATATATATATATATATATATATAATTTTTTCTCTTTCACATTATTATTATTATTATTATTATTATTATTATTATTATTATTATTATTAAAGCATTAAAGAAAAAAATAAAATGCTAAAGGAAACAAAATTGAACTTATTTCTTTCAAACTCTTTTTTTTTTTGTAAAATAAATTGTAAATTGATATTGAACTCAAATATTCAAAGATATAAAGTTTCAAAAAACTTATTATACAATTGTTCAAACACGACCTATTAGATTTTGCTATTATTATTGTTAGGTTTTATTAAATATCAAAACAAAAACAAATTAAAAGAATGAATTATAAAGAAATTTTAGAATGCACATCTAAAAATAAAAATGTTAGCATTATTAATACCACCTATGAGACACGTTATGTATGGTAATCTATAAAATAAACAAGCAGAAGCCTACTATATGAAACATGTATGAAAGATAATATGATGACACAAACATACATGCCTATGAGATAAAGCAAGCATAAAGGTCTATAAGATGTAGCAAGCATTAGATATGTGAGATGAGACAAGAATAGGAGGGAGAGTCTACAATACATAACATGCGTAGGTATTTGATTAAGCACATGGATCATTAAGATGTGAAAGACATGTTATTTGTAAGATGTAATACACATGATTCTTTGAGATTAAAAATGCGTGAGGCAGATGAAATGAATGAGCATATGTAAAGGCTTATAAGGTGTAGATAACATTGAGTTTAAGAGATGTGTTAATGAGAACTAATAAGATAAGATGAATAAACATTAAGACTTTTAAGATGAGCAAATACAAAGGCCTATAAGATGCAATAAATAAGAGGCCTATGAAATGAAATATGCACAAAGACCTTTGAGATGAAGCAAACGTAGATACTTATGAAATGAATGAGCATAGAAGCTTATTTGGTAAGTAAGCAAAGGGTTTATAAGGAGTAGCAAGCTTAAATGTGCATAAACCATAAAGGCCTAAGAAATGTAACAAGCATGAAGCTTAATTATGAAGGCATAAAGGCTTGTGAGTTAACTAGGTGTATGGCCCTAGAGATAAAGTAGGAGTTAAATACTATGATATGCAATGGGTACAAAGGTCTATAAGATGAAGGAGAAATAGAAAACTATGAAGTATAGCAAGCATGAGGACCTATGAGGTGAGAAATGCAAGACCTACAAGGTGAGATTAATTCAAGGGCTTAATAGATGTAACAATATAAGCTATGAGATGAAGAAGACACATAGACCGTGCAACCGACTTCAATCACAAGGGCTTAAAAATGGTAATAAGTATGAAACTTATGAGATGAAATAGGTATAAATGCCTGTGAGAAAAGAGGTGTATAAGCTTAAGAGATAAAATAAATATTAGAGTCAATGAGATGAGCACATGTTTGACTTATAAGGTGAAGTAGGCTCTCAAGATTATAAGGTACATCAGTGAGACCTATAAAGCGAACCATGTAAAATGCTAATGAGATGTGATAGGAGATGAGCTTTTGAAAGCCTTGGGATGATAACCACAAGGCTTATAAAGTGAGTAAGCAAATAACCGTATTCAATACAATAACGTAAATGTTTGTGAGATGAAGAAGGTTTGTGGGCCTAATAGGTGAAGTAAGTACAAGGACTGGAGATTAATAGATTTTTTAAGTCTATAAAATGAAATAGACACATGAACCTGTAAAATAAGATAGTCACAGGGGCCCATATGATAAGCTGATACACAAGTCTACCGGACAAAGTTGACATTAAGGCCTATTAAACGAAGTAGACACATATTCTCCTTTTATTTTTCCTTTTCATTTATTATTATTATTATTTTTAAAACCACTCTTATCTCCTCAGTCTCTTATTTTTTGATAATCACTCAATCAACTTTTATTTACTTATCTAACTTTCCAAAGAATCTACTCATTATTTTTTATTTTTAAATTTTAAATTTTTTAAAATGTGTTCTTTATTATTATTTTTATTTATTTAGAATGTTAAAGTAAAAGATATCACGAATTTAGAGACAAATATGATTATTTTATCATTAATATCAAGATATTCATCAACATATCCTTATTTTAAAACTTGTACAAAAATATAGGCAAAATTATTTTTTTTGTTTTCCAACTTAAAGGTCAAATTTGATTTTGTCCTCCAACTTTTTTTTGATTTATTTTAGCTCTTTAACTTTTAAAATTTTTTTATATAAGTCTTTTCCTTTAAAAGTGTTAATTTTGTAAATATTTTTTGTCTTTGTCTATCACATGTCGTGCATTTTTCATCTTCTTCCTCAAGGTTTCAACTTTCCTTCCACCCATCCTCTTGTTTTTTTTCTTATATAAACACCCAACACGTGCTTCACCAACTCTGTTGCCATGAGGTTACTCCCAATTATCTATTTTTAATATTTTTTTGTCCCTGCAAACATCACTAGTTGGACAGATTCATATTAAATTGGTTGACAATGGACTTTGATGATGCTTACTACATGTTTACTAAAGGGACTAAAAGTAAGAAAAACTCATTTGTGAGTTCCATGTCCAAAGATGCTTATAAAAAAATATGTGTAGAAAGCTTAAACATGAACAAGAGAGAAGAGGTTTGTGAAGCATATTTAGGTATTTGTATAGAAAAAAAGAAAAGAAGAAGAAGAAGTGGAGGAGAAAGATAAAACCTTAAGGAAGAAGATGAACAATACATTTGACTTGAGAAAGAAGATAATGAAAAGTGCATGATAGTGAAAAAAAAGAGATAAACAATATCAAGAGTTAAATTTTTTAATAAAAATAACTTATTTGAAACTTTTTTAAAAATTAGAAAATCAAAAGGATCAAAATGAATTAAAATAAAGTTAGAGAAAAAAAATTAAATTTGACCTTTAAATTAGAGGACAAAATCATTAATTTTCTGAAAATTCTATAAAATAAATTTTGGACATAGTATTGGTGCTATTATTATGCATTAGTTGTAAAATAAATGTTAATTTAAATAAAAAAAGCACTTTAGATTTATAAAGATTTTAGGAAAAATTATATTTTAATATACAAATTTAAAATTAGTTGAATTTTAGATTTACTCCATAGAAATTTAAATTTTAGATTTGATAATTTGTGATCTTATAGTTCAATTTTTTAATATAAACTGGAATTTTAATGTAATTCTTTTAAAAAATAATTAATTTTTTAAAATTATTAAAAATATATTTAAATAAGAACTAAATTCTAATCAAATTATGTCATAAAAGAAAAATAAAATAAAATAAGAGATGTTTTGACCTTTAAACATAGTTAAAGATGGCAATTCAAATTTATAATATAATTTTAATTAAAAAAAAGCATTTGAAGAAATTTACCTTCTTAAATAAATTTACGCAATTCGACTCAAATGAGTTATAATGCATTAGAACTTTTAAGACATTGATGATTCTAAACTCCAAAAATAAACTGTTGTGAAGTCCAAACGACGAAGACGCATGCTTCGTCTGTCGGTTTTTAAGCCCTGCCATGATTTATTGTCTGTTCGAATGTGCTTTGGACAAAAGGTTTTTTATTTTTTATTTTTAGTTTTTTTGGTAGTTTTGACTTTATAAACGAAAAATTAACCATATAATAATCACAGTTAAAGGAAAAATAAGATCTCATTACCGTTGTTTAAGAATACATTTTAAAATTAAAAAAATGTGGTATTTAATATACAGAATTTGTATTATATACATAGAAGATGGATATGTGATAAAAGGAAAAAAAATTTAAAATATAATTTTGTCAATCATTATTCTATGAATAATAGTTAAAAATTTAAGAAAGTGATTTATTAAAAATATAAAAAAATTTATGCTGATAATGTTCTAATAAAATAAATTCATAAAATAGTATATTTAAGGTTGATCCATTCTTTAACTATTGCTTTATAGAAAACAGTTACCAAAATTATTACAAATAAAATATTATTTTTTAATTATTCTTAAAAATAATCAATAATTAGAAGCAATTTTTTAAAAGAAATATAAAAATTAATATTATTAATATACCTGTACCGTTATTTTTAATAAAAAAATCATTTATTAACTATTCTTTTCTGGATAATGAAAAGAAAATTCATAAAATATTCATAATATAAAGTAATTAAAAATACTATGATGTGATGCAACTGCTCTCACCCTATATACTAAATAAACAAAAATAGGGGAAAACAAAATGGCATCGATCGCTACATTTAATTGGGCACAGGCGGGGGGTGGGATTTGGGAGGTGCCGAAACAGACCAACCTTCTAATAAGACAGCAGAAGCACAAACACAAACACAAACACAAACACAAACACGCGCAGATCTCCTCGCGTGAGGTGAACGTGTGCCGCTGATCTGTGCAAGTTGGAAATGAATGAGAAATTGCCATATTTTGATTCCACGATGGGTTCCGTTTGGGTTCGTTCAGTGTCTTACGCATTTCATTATTTATTAATTAATGAATCATACAAACAGAGCCTGAAATGAAATGAAAGTACTACTGAACTGAACACTGACTCGTGACTCGTGAGAGAGAATATCGGGTCCGGTTTTGTTTGGTTTTGCTCTTTCGCTTCTCTGCTTCATTTTCATTCCCTCTCTCAATAGCCAAGAGAATAGCATGGAACCCGAATCTGGAGTTTCAACTTCTCGCAATCCTTCTCAGGTTAGGGTTCTCTTCTTCCCCTTACTCGCTGTTTAGCACTAGTGAACTGTAATTAACTGTCAAGTTATTGCGCTACTGTTACTGTGATTCGATTCTCCTTGTTTTGCTTCTGTTTTAACTCATTTCAATTCATTCACTATCTGTTTTTGCTCTATAAGCGTGTTTCTATTCTCCTTGTCAACGCGTTGTTGGAGCAGTGTTTTGCGGATGAATTAACTCATCTGCTGTTTAATTTATTTTTAAGCGTTTGTTGATTTTTGTGTCATGGACGAGTCCCCCCCCCCCCCCCTCTCTTTTTTTGAATTTACGGTTTAATTTTTCGTTTTATTGAATTTCTTTCTTCTTTTCTTTGTTTGGTTCTGATTTGCTATATTTTTCGATGATGTAGGTCGATGATTCGTTATCCTTGTTTTTTCGTTTACTTGAATAATGAAAGTTGAATAATTCTTTGGTGCTTTGCAGTGGGCCTGGGTGAGTCTCTCTAGGAATCTATTATTAGCATATCAAAGCTTTGGGGTGGTGTATGGAGATCTGAGCACTTCACCTCTATATGTCTTTACTAGCACATTCAAAGGGAAATTACAAAATCACCATGATGAAGAAACTATATATGGCGCGTTTTCGTTGATTTTTTGGACTCTTACGTTGATTCCGTTGCTTAAATACGTATTCATCGTATTGAGTGCTGATGATAATGGGGAAGGTATTCTAATGACTTTATTTTTCGCTTTTAACTTCTTATCTTGTAGAAAGGCTTTGAATTGTGAGATCTGAGTATGATTGATACAACTGCCATCAGGTGGAACATTTGCTCTTTATTCGCTGCTCTGCAGGCACGCCAAGTTTAATTTACTCCCCAATCAGCAAGCGGCTGATGAGGAGTTATCATCCTATAAATATGGTCCCTCATCACAGACTGCACCCTCTTCTCCACTGAAGAGGTTTCTAGAGAAACATAAAAGGTTAAGAACAGCCCTGCTTGTTGTGGTACTGTTTGGTGCTTGCATGGTCATTGGTGATGGTGTGCTTACTCCGGCAATTTCAGGTAAGGAACCCATGTGATTAAAATGTCTTAGTATGATATTTTGATGCAAATTGCCCTTAGTATATAGGTACGCAACTCCTTTGGTTCGTCTGCATGAAAAATTCTTGCTTTTAGTTAGAAGTTAACAATTACTCTGATTCTTCTCCCGCAGTTCTGGCCTCAGTATCAGGATTAAAAGTTACAGAAAAAAAATTAACAGATGGTGAGCTAAATCTCGTCTGTTCTATTTTTCAGTTCTTATCAATGCTTTTCCAGTGCTAAGGGCACAAATATTAGGTTACCGTAGAAACTTCATGTTGTTTGCAGGTGAACTTGTCCTGCTTGCCTGTGTCATATTGGTTGGACTGTTTGCTCTCCAACATTGTGGCACACACAAAGTAGCATTTATGTTTGCACCGATTGTAATCATCTGGCTTCTATCAATATTTTCTGTTGGGCTGTATAATACAATTCATTGGAATCCAAAAGTAGTTCGTGCTATATCGCCATACTATATCATCAAGTTCTTTGCCAAGACTGGTAAAGAAGGTTGGATTTCTCTTGGAGGGATACTTCTCTGTATCACTGGTATGCTAGTTCTTGATATACCTAACAGTTACCTGACTTGCAGTATAATTTTTTTTTTATGTTATGCTGGATATTCCATTATTCTGTCTCAACTTTTTAAATTTAGTTGAGTTGTAATTTACTATACACACTGAGTGTTTTAGAAGTCAGATGCTAGATTTCTCTAACTGCATATTCACCCCTCCTCCCCCCTTCTTTCTCCAGGAACCGAAGCTATGTTTGCAGATCTTGGTCATTTCACTGCTTCGTCGATAAGGGTGAGCTTTTAGCTTGACCGTTCATTTTTGTTTTTGATGTCTGAATATGTCTATAGTCTTATTTGACTGGCTTGTTTTTGTTGTAACACAATCAGGAGTATTTAGTTGGTGTTTTGTACTGTCACATTATGACAAACAACAGCAAACTATTATTCATAGTGTTATCTCTTTTATCTTTACCCATATAATTTCAAGGCATCATTTTATTAGTTTTATAAATTGATATTGTTCTTTAGGAAAGAATAATTACTTAGTGTACATTTACTTCGATGTGATGGTAATTATCATGCATTGTTTGGTGTGCAACTGAAATGTTTCTTAATATTCTTTTCCTTGTGCAGCTTGCATTTGCGTTTGTTATATACCCTTGTTTGGTGGTGCAGTACATGGGTCAAGCTGCTTTCTTGTCTAGAAACCTCAACTCTGTTGATAACAGTTTTTATGACTCAATACCTGGTCAGTTGATCCAGCACTCTGACTTATTGATTTTACTGCCAGTGTTTTAAAATTAATGCAATTTGGTAAAGTTTTTGGTTGTCCTGCAGGACCTGTGTTTTGGCCCGTTTTTGTTATTGCCACCCTTGCTACAATTGTTGGGAGTCAAGCTGTTATAACTGCAACTTTTTCCATCATCAAGCAGTGTCATGCGCTTGGTTGCTTTCCACGAGTCAAAGTTGTACACACTTCAAAGCATATATATGGACAGATCTACATCCCAGAAATAAATTGGATACTTATGATCCTGACTCTTGCTATAACCATTGGATTTCAGGACACAACCATAATTGGAAATGCTTATGGTAATTTTTCCTATATGAACCTCTCTCTCGTCCCCACCCCCCCCCCCACACACACACACGCACACACACACAAAGACAAGGCCATTTGTCCCGTTATTTTATATTTTTTTCAAGGCTAGCCATATGGTCTAGATTGGCAACATTGTGACATTGCACTCTGGTGCTTATTAGGGTGTTCACTGCTTGAGTGATTGATTCCCTCCAATTATGAAATTGGATTGATAGTTCAAATTGATCTACGGCCAAAATGGATGCTTCATATGCATAGTTTTTGCTTGTGGTACTAAAGTGATGATACGATCAATCCTACTGTAATATCAAAATATCAAGTACACAAAAAGATTGCATTCCTTGCCCTTAATGTTCATGTGATCATGTCTTCTACTTTGCTCATGCACTAGAGTAATGCTTGGCAAATTTAGCTTAAAATCTGTTTTTTTTTTCTCCGGTAATATTTTTCGAACACTACGTGTTTTTGCTTCCAATCTTAAGCAATTTTCCTCTAGCGTATTGACAGGAGATAAGGAACTAACATTAAGTTTACCAAATAAAACAAAGGACCCATAGTATTGGGGCAGCTAAAGTTGCCTTTGGTTCATGATTTGTTATGTGCTTTTCAATCAAGGCAGCAAGGTTTTTTTTTTTTTTTTTCTTTTTTAACTTCCGTCAGAATTTGTGTTCTATTTGTAATATTGAAGATAATTTGTTGTTGGGTATTTCGTTTACAGGACTTGCTTGTATGACAGTTATGTTCGTAACAACATTTCTGATGACACTAGTCACAGTATTTGTCTGGCAGAAAAGTGTCTTGATTGCTATAGTATTTCTTTTATTCTTTTGGATGATAGAGGGTGTATATCTATCAGCAGCATTCATCAAAGTGCCTCAGGGAGGATGGGTTCCTCTTGTCTTATCATTCATCTTCATGATGGTTATGTATGTGTGGCATTATGGTACTCGTAGGAAGTATAGCTATGATCTGCACAACAAAGTTTCATTGAAATGGTTACTGGGTTTGGGCCCAAGCCTTGGTATTGTCCGTGTCCCTGGGATAGGTCTCATCTACACTGAACTGGCCACAGGAATACCTGCAATATTTTCCCATTTTGTAACAAATCTTCCTGCATTTCACAAGGTGTTGGTTTTTGTTTGTGTAAAATCAGTTCCTGTTCCATATGTTTCATCTGAAGAACGTTTCCTTATTGGGCGAGTTTGCCCCAGACCATATCGTATGTATAGGTGCATTGTCAGATATGGTTACAAGGACTTTCAAAGGGATGATGGAGATTTTGAGAATCATCTTATACAGAGTATAGCAGAATTCATCCAAATGGAAGCAGTGGAACCGCAGTTCTCAAGTTCTGAAGCTTCTTCACTTGATGGGAGGATGGCTGTTATAAGTTCTAGAAACTTAGAATCTGCTTCAAGTTTAATAGTTTCTGAGCTTGAAGATATTGGTGTAGACATATCCATTCCTAGCAGCAGATCTGTAACCCTGCGAAGTTTGCAATCGGTTTATGATGATGAAACTCCACAAGTTAGAAGGCGACGAGTAAGATTTCAGTTACCTAACAATCCTAGTATGGATCCTGCTGTTAGGGAAGAGCTTCTGGACTTAATTCAAGCTAAGGATGCCGGTGTTGCCTATATAATGGGGCACTCGTATGTGAAGGCAAGGAAGTCGTCGTCATTCTTGAAGAAGCTCGTTGTTGACATTGGGTACTCATTTCTGCGGAAGAATTGCAGGGGTCCAGCAGTAGCTCTTAACATTCCTCACATTAGTCTTATAGAAGTTGGAATGATATACTATGTGTAGTTCTTTAGTGAAATTTTCAACTTGATTCTGGTTGTATAGGTTGTATACTCCTCGATGTAGCGTCTCTTTGGCTACGTTTATCTTAGCTTTTGCTGCTCTCTCAATGTGTAATTACGTTACTTAGTTGCAATAATGCATTAGAATATTATTTTAGGTATCGGAATATTTCCCTTGTTCCGTGTCTGCCTGTCTTGTTTAGACTTGTGTGTGTACGCAAGTGCGTATTTGGGGTACACGGCCCCCAAATTTGTTAGAAGATTATTAGGTTATGGTTGGACCAATGCTAACTACCTAATTTTTCTGTAAGGCAGATTGGATCAAAGGTTTTGTTGTCATTTCCTCCTATATTGTTCTTATGGCAATCCTTCCGATCCATGTAATGGAATATATTGAGTACCTGGAAGCAATTCTTCCTCCAGGGCCGTCTGAGTAAAATTATAGATAAATACTTACATAAAAATAATTCTCTTGTTATTAAAGTTAATTAATATATCTCAAGTTTCAAAAAAGTTAAATTAGATTTTGTTTTTTGAAATACAAAGAAGTGTGAATTAATTTTAACTTATAAAGGGAGTTTGATTTATTTTGCTTTCTTATTTTTATTTTTTATAATTACTTGTTAAAAAGTTTATTTAAATTAGACTTAAATCTTTGTTTAACCTTTAATAAAGCTCTAGTATAATGTTGACAGTTGACACATTATTAATGTTTTTATAGTAGCATATCTTTATTAAATGCATTAAAAGAAAATTTGCAATTTCTTTTTTGTAGAAAAATTGTTGGAACAAGAATTTTTAAGACAAACTTTAAGGAGATAAAAAGTTTAAAAGAAATCAAATATGATTCCAATTAGGGATGGAAACAGGCCAAACTTTACCTTAAACAGGTCTGACATGTAATATAATTATTAGGCTTGAGTCTGACCTATTACCTGTTAAAGATTTTATTTTTAGCCTGACCTGACTTGTTTAGGTGGCCTGACAAGCCTATTAACAAAGTTTGTTACAAAAAAAAATATTTTAATATTAATGAAAATATAAATATTTTATCATCAAATTAGTTTACATATTTTTTTTTCTTTTCATCTGTGTTATTAATAATTATTAAATAATTATAATAATCTTATAAATAATTTTTAAAATATTATTTGAGCACTGATTATAAATGTTTCATATTAAATAAATTTTTATTTTATTTTTTTGATTTTATTTTTAAAATTATTAAATTATTAAAGATTCTAATTTTTTTTAGGATCATATTTTATTTGTTTAAAGATATCTTATATTTAATAAATAAAGTCATAGTAAACACATAAAATTGATCACAAAAAATAATATTCATATAATTTGTTGAATCAGCTGAAAGAAAATTATTATATTTTAATAAATAAATAAATTTAAATTTATTATAATATATATATATATATAATAAAAATAATAATAACTATTAAATTAAAAAAGTAAATTAATTACAAAATATTTATTTTTATTTATTTCATTAATTTGTTATTTTAAATTAACAAATACACGTAAAATTAATAACACTATAACATTAATATAATATAAAAAAATATTACTCATACAATAAATTAAAATATATACTTATATATAAAATATAAATTGATAAATTATCTAATAATTTAATTTTTTATTTATGTAAATATTTACGAATTATTAAATTTCAAATGTATGTTAATAATTAAAGTATTAAAAAATTTAATTATTTTTTATGATAATTATATTTTGTTTGTATAAAGATATCTTATATTTAATAAATAAAATTATAGTAAACACATAAAATTGATAACAAAAAATAATATTCACAAAATTTGTTGAATCAGCTAAAAAAAATTATTATATTTAAAAAAGTAAATAAATAGTCATTGTAAAAATTATAGGTAAAAAATATTTATATTATAAAATTTAAGGATGCAAAAAAAATAACGTATGAGCATAGTAAAAATTAATAAAATTTATATTTAAATAAAAATACCTTATATTTCTAAACTTTTATCTTAATAAAAAATATGTAATAAAATTTAATATATATATATATATATATAATGATAATAATAATAACTATTAAATTAAAAAAATAATTACAAAATATTTAATTTTATTAATTTTTATTTTAAATTAATAAATATACGTAAAATTAACTATACTATAACATTAATATAATATACAAAATATTACTGATACAATACATTAATATATATATATATATATATTATAAATTAATAAATTATTTTTTTATTTATACCTTTTTTGTAAATATTTATTAATAATTGAATTTTGAATGTACATTAACAACTATATTTCTTAAGAAAAATTATTTACATCTATGTTAAATTCGTGAAAAGTAATTATTTAAAATTTGACATTTATATTTAGGTATATTGTTGTATGCTATGTATTTGATATGTAAAATTCTTTTATATGTACTTTACTCAAAAAATTTATACTAATAAAAATAAAATATATATTAAGTTAAAAAAAGTATATATTATTATATATAATTTATTTAAAATTATATTATTTATATTATTTACTATATGGTCCTATTATATATATATATATATATATATATATATATATTGTATATGAAATTTTTTATTTTATTTTTCTATCATTTTTTTGTAAAATTTTAGTTTCAAATAAAATATAATTCATATTTAAAGAATTTTTATTTATTATAAAGAAAAATAATTAAATATAATATATTAATATAATAATTAAATAGTAATAATAAATTTAAGAATATAAAAAATATATTAATATAATATTATTATTCTATTTTTTTAATTTTATTTTGTTCAGTTTTGATTGCATTTTATTTCTTTTCAAAGATTTAACCACTCTTTAACTTATTTAAATGTAACAAATATGATAATTTATTATTAAATAAATTTATTATTTAAAAAGTGTAATAGTGTATAAATATTTTTTATTTTTAATAGAATATAAATTCTATTTATTATAATTATAAATAGAAAGAATTATAACATAATATATTAATTTAATATAACAAAATTAAAAATATATTATTAAATAACTTTATTATTTAAACATGTTTTAACATCTGTATTTTTAAATTATATATATATATATATAAGCCGGCCTGTCAGGCTTAACATGCTTTAAAAACAGCTCTAACTTGTTTACTTAAACAGACCTTAAAAAAAGCCTAAGCCTTATTTGTTTATTAAAAAAGTCAGGTCAGACCAAGCTTAAATCAAGTGGCTTGACCTGTTTCTATCTTTATCTCCAATCCAATTCATTGCATTAGACTAAAAATATTGACACCTTAATAATCATTGATCGAGGCATTTGTATTGAAAACATCTTTAGTATATAGAGGATCCTGTGTTTTTTTTTTTTCTTGTCATATTCATAGATGAAAAAGTATAACAACACTTACAATCAAATATGCTAAATATAGAGAGCATTATAATAACACAAAATAAAAGATTAAGCATGCATGTTTAATATTAAACACAAGTTAACAATCCTTTATACATTAAACACAAATCTTTAACTTTTCTACCCAACGAACACAAGAAATTTACTTCTCTGTTTTGCCTTTTTTTTTTTTCCTCCTTCCAAATTAACACATACCTGAAGGTAATATCATGATCTTAAAGGCTAAGGTTGACATGAGCTTAATTCATGTCATGCGCTTAAATCAAATTTTGCATACAAAATATTTCTCTTTAATTTAATACTTCCCTTTTAAGTGCCATGGAGCTTCTTAAGTTGAGTACTCATAAGTCATAATTAAGTATTTATTTAATAAGTTCTTATTAAGTTATAACAAATTTATTGAAATAAATTAAAAAAATTATGTGAATCATAAACTATGTTCATTAGTTCTTCTAAAACTTTTCTAAACTTTTTAATGATACAATTAAAAACAATATTATTGTATAACACTTTTTCAGTAGTCAAATATTGCTTTAATGGATTTTTTTTTTTGTTGGAAATGGATTGAAGACAAATATTAAAACCAAAAAAGCTTTCTACACAAGAAACTTTAAAGATAAATTTTGTTAAAGTGTTGAATATCTTTTTCATCACCTATTAGTTTGCTAGTCATATTTTGAACTTTATTATAAATTTTATTTCAAGTGAACTAGGATAGAAACTTATCAACTCCTTGAATGTTCTCTTTAGACCAAAATAAAAATTCAAATATAGAAACTTAAAAATAATAGGGTTCTACGTCTCTTAGAAGCAGCAAAACAAAGACTAGAATTTTCATAGACTCATAATCTTCGACGATAACGTTTGCTCGCAGAGCGATTGAGAATCTATTTTGTTACTGTAATTTGAAAAGTATTTATCGCATAACAACTACAACAAATATGCGAAAGGATTTTTGGAAATGTAGAAACTATGAGGTAATTTTGTAAGATTAAATAACTAAATTTTATATTTGTATATAAATAAGTTCAACCAATTTGTGTTACTAATCTATTGTATCATTTTTCAGTTTGGTGAGAGTTGTGGATTTTTCAAGTGGAGGAAAGATAATAAAGTTGAAGATAATGAAATTGTTGTATTAAGACAAAGAAGAAGAATTGTGCATCTTCAGAACTCATTCAAAATTAATAAGAAAAGGATTAAAATTTTAAGTTGGATTTTAAGTATTAGTATGATTATTAATGTATTAGTAGTAATTTTCTTATTTTTCACGTTGTTTAGTAGAAAATCAATGTTTTTTAGGGATGTAAATTCTATAAATGCACTATGAAAGAGTGTTTAGATTAAATCATGATCTTGATATTGTGTTATTGCTTTTTATGGATTCTTCTATCTTTAATGAAATAATATTTTCAGTATATGTATTATCTTGAAATATGAATGTGAGAATAAGAAATCTTCACTAAGAAGATTGATTAACATATACTGTTATGACATTAACAAAAGAACAAAGACAAAATACAAGTCCCATCGAATATGCTTTCCAACCAAGCTGCACAAAACATAAAGCAAAAAGCAAAAAAACACATTGTCCCTATATAATACATTTAATTATGTTGACGTCTTTGAGTACACATCGTCCTTCTTGTTTGACCATCAATGGAATTTGAGACAAAATACAAGTCCCACCGAATATGCTTTCCAACCAAGCTGCACAAAACGTAAAGCAAAAAGCAAAAAAATACATTGTCTCTACATAATACAATTAACTATGTTGACATCTTTGAGTATACATCTTCCTTCTTGTTTGACTATCAATGGAACTTGAGAAGTGTTTGAACTTTGATTATAAGTTGTTGATGCCTCTGTTCCAGTAGGCTGTGTTGCTTTGCAAATAGCTTTGTTATGACCACTTACTCTACATTTGCTACATTTAATAGTCATTCTTTCCCTACTCAATTTGTTTTCCCCAACAACCTTCTCAGATACATCTTTATTTCTTAACTTCTTTGGCCTCCTAGGTTGTTTCTTGATTGGTGGGGTGAAATGTCAGGGTAGTCAGTAGATTCTCACAAATTAGGTCTATTTGCTGGATATATGATAGACTTGTAAACTGTTGCATAATGTTATTATTTTTTTAATAATAAATAGGAATATAATTTACATGATTGATATTAACATGGTTCATGCAAGCAATTGAATTATAGCAAGGTATTCTAGTAAGCATCCATATTCTGCAAGAACATTCTTTTACTTCAAGGTTCACTACAAACTTATTTCCCTTTAAAATTATATGTCGGACCTCGAACATATGTTGTCTAGACTACTTTGTAGAAATGAAAATAAGTGTAAGTTGTAATATGGGATATAGTAAAGGACTACTACAATTGATTACAAAATAGTTAAAAGACTAAAATGAGTCATTTTAAAATAGTTAAATGACTAAAATAGTTCATTTTAAATAATTCGAGGACTGAAATGAACGTAATTTAAATCTTAGATGACTAAAATGAACCGTATTAAAAAGTTAAAGTATCATCAAAGTTATACCTTAGCAACCACCATCTTGATTCAGCCTGATATTTTTGTAACCTCTTTTTGTATATTTGGCAATACGTCTTCGGTCAATAATGTTGCCTTTTTTCTATTGGCAGCTCACCTTTCCATTAAATAAAACCCTTATGTCTTCCATCATAGTAATAATGGGCTTTTCTTTAGGTCCCAGAATAATACTATTAAAGGTTTCAACACATGCTGTTTACAACTACATCAATCTTAGATTGGAAAGAAAATGTTGACTTGCTCCAATATCTTGAGAGAATCTTCAGGAGATGCTTGAATGCTTCTTCATTGATGTTCCTTATTTCTTTCATATGTCTTTCCCATTCTTGTGGATAAGTTGCTTTTGGTGCCTTCCACATAAGCTCTTTTAATTGTTTACTTGGATATACCTTTCTGAAATTATTATATAAGTGTCTGACACAAAACCTTTGTTCTACTCCAGGAAACAATTGCTCAATGGTTGACAATAATCCTAAAATACTAAATATTCAGTGTCCTATCAATAAGTTAACCAAGATATAATGAATTTAGTAAAAAGAACCATAGGGTGCAATGTGAATAGCATCTTGTAATTTTTTACTCAATCAAGCTGAACTTAACATCTTCACCTTATACTATCTACCGCATGTGTGTTTATCAATAATTTTTCTTAATTGCCAAGTGTCTTTTCTTGGTAATTTGGCACAAAATATCATCAATTTGCATTCACCTTTACATACCACTCTCACTCTTTCATTATCATTCTTTTGAATCTTTAAGTCCCTACCAAAGTGAAAAGTATATATCTTTATAGCCTCTTTAAAATCTTCTTTGGATGCAAAAATGTACCTATTTCCTATTTGTAATCAGTCATTTTTTATGGCAACTTAAATAAATTAAAGTTGTTTCTACCTTTCTCTTAATCAGAATTTATATCAGTCTCTAATCTCTCACTATTATAATCCTCATCAACATCAAAAGAATCATTGCTCACAGTAAATGTTATTGGATTAGCAAAAGTAGAACTAACCTCAAATTAAGATTCAACTTCTAAATCTTCATCAAAATTGGAATCAATATGAAACTCAATAGGAATTGTTATTTTCTTCTTTTTTTTTCTCACTTGTTCTTAATATTTTGGTTGTTTTTTTTTACTTGTTCTCGTTGTTTTGCTTGTTTTCTTCTCACTTGATTTTGCTGTTTTCTTCCTTTTTTTGTCACTTATTTTTTATGTTTTGGCAGGCAATGTCTTTTTTTTTTGTCCTTTTTTTTACTCAATTTTTTTTTCATTTTGCAAAAGATTTTTTCTCTATTTGATAGCCATTAACTTTTTTTGCTTGGTCATGATCTCCTTGTTCCATATGAATCTCTTCCTCTTCCACATGCATATCTTCCTATTACACTTGAACCTCTTCCTGTTCCACTTCAACCTCATCATCCATTTCAAAATTTTCTTCTACTAATTGTCCTTCGTCCTCCAACACCCATCTCCTCAACTTGAACCTCATCAACATTCATGGGATGTTCATGTAATGGAACATTCGTATATATCTCAACTTGTGAAACTGCATGTACTACATACAACTCCACTTTTCTATAACACTTCAACATTGTGGCCATCTTCATAACTCCTTTATTATCTTTTAGTTCCTTTAATCCAACATCGAGACTTTTTCCACTAATCTTGTACCACATACTATCAACTACATCATATCCCAATTCATGTACCTCATCCAAACACTCAGAATAACTCTAGAAATTTTTTCTCAATCCTAAATACTTGTCTGACCTCCAACATACTTAGTCTTTCATGACTTTTTAAACTTGTCACCATGGTGAACTTCTATGTAGAATTTATCTATCTCTTATGACCTAAAAATGTTAATAACAACAAAACTTAAATTTCAAAAAGAAGAAATCTTTCAAATATTCAACAATATCCTAACTCTTATAACCTCACAAAATACAAACAAAATAATATACCTAACACATGCAAAGATTAAATTTCAGAAGTAGAAACATACCTTATAACCTTGATGTTTGATTCTACTACAAAATTTTCAACCTTTTTCCAATAAGAAACCCTAATAACCCCTAATAGCACGAAATATTTTGTTTTGTGAATTGATTTTTTGATTTCAATTTCTCAAATTCCCTTTATAACACAGTGATGATTTTCCTCCTTGAAGTGTGTTTCACGTAACTACAATCTCCACGTGTAGAATGACTTCCGATTTAAGGCTTCCATTTATATGTCTAGGTAGTATAACATAAACGCTGTTAGTGCCACATAGGATGCCTTTGTAAACCTCTCTAACATAAATCACGGAAAGGGCTAACGTGGAAAAAAATAAAAATTAGAGGACTAAATTGAACAAAAAAAGTTAGAGGACGAAAGCAAATTTTACCCTAAAGTTAAAAGATAAAAAGAGTAATTTTACCTATAATATTTGTAAGTTTTTAAGAACAAAATTGTTGATCAAATTAAATAACAATGACTTTGAAAAGATCATCACAATGAGAAAAGTAAGTTGTTGAGATAATATTTACACATAAGTTTTCAAGAGGAAACAAATAAGAAAGATTAACACATAATACATCTGTTGATCATGAGAGAATTTTTTTCATGAAGTATGTGTACATTTTATATAGAAATTGAGTAATAAGAAGACTAATATTTGATATCGATCATCTCTAGTTATTTGAGAGGTTTATGCTTGAACCAAATTTTAAGGTAAAATGCTGGATCAAGTAAAAATAAAATAAAATATTATGATAAATAAGATCCTACTTTTTGCCCTTATTAAAAATTCCACTTTGAATCAATTTGATGAAGTATCAAAATTTGTCTATCTAGATAGTCATAAAAGTACAAAAATGTGAAGTTCCATAGAAGTGCTATTCTCTTAAACTCAATAAAGTATGCTTGAACTCCTTAAGATTAGATGTAGAATCAAGCTTCGACACCAAAATATTAAATACACTATCGCAAGGATCACAAGTTAACTCGAGCAAGATTAGGTAGCAAGTTTCGTGAAGCAATTTGATATTTTAACTTTTGTAGCCTACATCTAAGAAAAACATAATCTTCCATACGATTAGTGTTACCTCATAGTTAAAAGAAGTGAAATAATAGTAAGATCAAAAAGAAAATAAAACAAAAGTGAAAAGATAAATAGAAATACCATTTTTTTTTTCAAAAAAGATACTTAGTAGTGATAAAGTGGTATGATTTTGGTTTTAAGAGAAAAATTTCTTTTTAAAAAGTGAGTAGTGTCCTTAAAAGTATCTAATTTTCTTTGAAATAAATAAATGAGAAAAGAAGAGAGACCAAAATAAAAAATAAATATTATCTATAAAATTTTAATGATTTTATTAACTCTAACCTTAATTAAGTTTATGATTGAATTTAAGTAATTAATAATAATAATAAGATTTTATTTTAAAAAATATTTATTTACATTAAAAATACAAAGTGTGATAATTTTTTTTAATAAATATTATTGTTATTTTTATGATAAAATCTTCTTATTATTAATTGTTTAACAATTGAGATAAACAATATCAAATTTTTAAAATTCGAAATGTCCAAAAAATAATTTCCCTAAACTATCTTGTATGCATCTAATTTTTTCTTACGGAATGCATAGTGCAATACATTTGTTACATTGGCATCCTAATAATAGTCCACAAAATATCAAGTGCCATATTCATAAATAAAACTCCAGACCCATTCAACCCAAAATTTCAAAATCTGAATTATATATATATATATATATATAAATCTGAATTTGAGCTGTCTAAGGTATCCCTCTTTTCTCTCAACCCCACAAAACTGATCATCGTTGTTTTATCATAATTTTCTGCACATATATTACAATGACACAGGATAATCCTACTTTCTTGGATACTACAATAAACAAAACCCCTCCAAAACCTTCACACCCATCTCTGAATTACCCTTCGTTTGCACACTCTTCCTCCCAAAGATTCAAACTTTGCAATGACAATCTGAACACACACACACACACACACACACACACATGGCTTCTCTTCTCCCAACACCACACATTTCCACACCGTTCAATTTCATCTCAAAGTTCAACTCTTTCCCAAGAACTTGGAACCTCTTCATCCTCACATACCCTTCACACCACAACAACAAAAACAAGCTCTTACTCTTACCCACAAATGCAGTGTACACCCCGGACCTCTATGCCCCTTTTTCGCCCTCCAAAACTGAGCTCCAAAATGACTCCATTTCTCTACTAAACGACAGAATTCGCCGTGACTATGCCAAAAGAGAAGCTTCCAGAACTATGATGGACTCAGAGGAAGCTGACAAGTACATGCAAATGGTGAAGGAGCAGCAGCAGAAAGGGTTGCAGAAGTTGAAGGGTGTTAGAGGGGGTAAAGATGGTGCCTTTAGCTATAGGGTAGACCCTTACACGCTTCGTTCTGGTGACTATGTTGTGCACAACAAAGTGGGTATTGGGAGGTTTGTTGGAATCAAGTTTGATGTTCCAAAGAATTCTGATGAATCCACTGAGTATGTTTTCATTGAGTATGCTGATGGAATGGCAAAGCTACCTGTTAAGCAGGCTTCTAAAATGCTCTATAGATATAATCTGTAAGCTTTTTTCTTTTTCTTGCATAACCTTTTTGTCATTTGTTGAATTGAATGTAGAGGACGATGATGAATTTGGCTTAGTTGCTTTGGTGAAGGAGTTTTGTGTTAATGTGGTGTTTGTGTGTGTGCCTTTTTGCAGTCCAAATGAAAGCAAAAAGCCTAGGACATTGAGCAAGTTAAATGATACTAGTGCATGGGAGAGAAGAAAGATTAAGGGGAAGGTCGCAATACAGAAGATGGTTGTTGATTTGATGGAACTCTATGTACATAGGCTCAAACAAAGAAGGCCTCCTTATCCAAAGACTCCTGCCATGGCTGAATTCACAGCTGAATTTCCTTATGAACCCACGCGGGACCAGAAACAGGTGACATTATAGAAAATGCTGTTGTGTTTTGGTGGAAGGTAGTTGGTTGATTGTGATTTTTTGTTGCTGTTTTAATTTTGTTATTTAACTACTAATACCACTTTTTGATTGTTCATGAATCGAAGTGATACTTCTGTTGAATTTTTATATGTTTATGTGATGCATATTCAGTTATTTCATCTCTTTTTAATGTGTATTCTTGCAGGCATTTATTGATGTTGAGAAGGATTTGACAGAGCGAGAAACTCCAATGGACAGATTAATTTGTGGAGATGTTGGTTTTGGTAAAACTGAGGTTGCACTACGAGCTATATTCTGTGTTGTGTCAGCTAAAAAGCAAGCAATGGTTCTGGCACCAACAATAGTTCTAGCAAAACAACATTTTGATGTTATTTCAGAGCGCTTTTCTGTATATCCTGATATAAAAGTTGGACTACTAAGCAGGTTTCAGGTATGACTATGAGTAACTTCTCCGTTTTAGTTATAGTTAAATTCATCTAGTTGTTAGTGTTACACAGTATGAAGAAGAGATTTCACTAATCTAATTAAACTTCTTTGGTAGCCATTAGCCAATTATCTGCTTTCATTGTTAACTCATCTCTAATGATAGTTCACTTGAATCTGCATCAGATTATTTCTTGAACTATCCCATAAATCATAGTCATGCGGTGAACTGAATGTATTCCAGTTTCTGTGTGGAATAACACTTCCCAACACTAACAACCCAATTTCCATTTATTGGATAGACTTGATACCTTTTAGTATCTACCTTGCGTGAAATATCCGATCTAGTACATCAGTTTGGTAGTTTCTGACCTTATATATTTCTAGCTTATTGCTTGCGCATTCTGTTGGTCACTATGACTGTGATACTGCTTTACTATTAGATTAACTATTTTGTGCATGTACTACATTTACTCTTAAATTAGTTAGTCATATTATTTACACGTGTAAATGTAATTGCTGTTCTGGTGTCCATTTCTATATTCTGGTTTCATTATATTATGGACTAATGACTAAATTATATAGTTATTTGACTTATTTCAGTTATTCCATTATTATTCATAGATGTATGAAATGTGGCACTTTAATTTGCTTGCTGGAACTATATTGTTCATCACCTACATCATTTTTATGCAATTCTCTTATAAGTTTCTTTCTACTGATTTGGTAAATGCATTTAACAAAGTTGTTTATAATTGTTATCTTATGCTTATTCCTTTCAACAATATAAAAATTCTCTATGATTTGCGGTTGTGAAAGTGACAATTATTTTGTGGTGGTACAGTATGTATTACTGCTCTTATTTTCCATTCAAATATGTATTGAATTGTGTAGTGCTTGGTATTACTATATTCCAAGTCAGGATATGTCTTGTCCCAAACTTTTTCCCCCTACAATTGAAGCTTTTCTTATAAAGATAGCATATGGACATTGTAGCAACTTGAAATTTGGAAAATTATAAGGTCAAACAAATATGAGCTGCATGATTCATGGCCTTCTAAGTGGATATTTATGAATAGTTTATTAATTATATTTCAATTATAGACTATTCACTTATCACAACATGCAGACCAGAGCAGAGAAAGAAGAGTACTTGGACATGATTAAGAATGGTACCCTGGATATTATTGTTGGGACACACTCACTCCTAGGAGATCGTGTTGTATACAACAATCTTGGTCTGCTTGTTGTTGATGAGGAACAGGTTTACCAATTATCTTCATTAAATATTTTACTTCTTTTGATTATAGTGGCACTCCCCCCTCCTTATGAGCAACAATTTATTGCATTGCAGAGGTTTGGTGTCAAACAGAAGGAGAGGATTGCTTCTTTTAAAACTTCTGTGGATGTACTTACTTTGTCTGCAACCCCTATACCACGAACTCTTTATTTAGCTTTAACTGGGTTTCGTGATGCTAGGTAAAAAGCCTTTCAAATGATGAAGATTCACTGTCTAGTGTTAACTTGCTCTCAGTGTTATACAAAAAGAGTTACAAATGTCTTATACATTGTTATTCAAAATTAAAAATTCTAAAGTATCTCGTTGATGGAAGAGGATGAATATACTTTTTTGTCATTCAATTAGGTTGTGTTGTGCATCTCTTGTAAAGGTGTGTGTGTGCACGTGAGAGAGAGAGAGAGAGAGAGAGAGAGAGAGAGAGAGAGAAGAGAGTGAGAGATTACTTTTTTTAATAATGTTATAATTGATCTTCCAAAATATTTGAATTATGGTTTGATAGCATAAACTAAGTTGCTTTGCTAGAATGTGTATATTTATGTTGGGATTTGATCCATTCATAACCCTGGCCTTGATAGGTTAGCTTTGGAAGAGTTGGTTCTTGACATGGTTTCGGAGCCTTTGTGACCAAGTGATCGAGAGTTTGATTCATGCTTCCCCCATTCTTCTAAAAACGTTTAATTTTAGCACAAGGTAAAGTGAGCTTGTGCATTATACACACTTCAAGCTCAAAGGGCTCTTCTGTGAGGGTGCATGTTAGGTATAAAGCCAGTCACAGGCTTTCACCTGATGGCTGAGAGCCCAATCTTTTGAATGAGTTGGTTTTTAACAACTCTTTTAAGCTGTCTATGCATGATGCAGTGGCCTTTTTATCAAAAAAAGAGAGAAGCTAAGTCAAAAAAGATACGATCACAGTGTAATATATCCTTTACTACTGTGTCAAGTTATTCCCCTTCCTTTTCCCCAAAATTTTGTATAACACGACATCCATAATGTTAAATGATAGTAGGTTAGTGGAGAGGAAACTAAATGGAAGCAAAGGCATAACTATGAGACTATCTTAGTTACGGGGAGTTGGTTCATCAACTCTCATAATGTTGAAAACTTAAGCACAAACCTCTATGATGGTAAAATTGGTCCCCTGCAAAATTCTGCTCATCTTAGAATACCCTTAGCATTTTTATATGTACATTCTTAATCTTCTGGTTCTAGTTTTGCCTAGCGTGGCATTTTGATGTGTGCATGATTGGCTCTTTCAGTCTTTCAATTTAACTTAGGAGTTAGGACTAATCAAACACCCATTAAGATCACCTAAGTAACTTCCAAATTTAAGTATAATCCTATTGTAATTTCTATTAATTTCTGTTTCAGTTTAATTTCAACTCCACCTCCAGAAAGAGTTCCTATCAAGACTCATCTTTCTTCATTCAGTAAGGACAGAGTAATATCAGCCATCAAGTATGAGCTGGACCGTGGTGGTCAGGTTTTTTATGTTCTGCCACGTATTAAAGGTGATTCTTAGCTAATAATTTCTATCCTACATCTGTGTGTAAGCTGCTGATGTAATGTCAATTCTGATAAGGGTGAGACAGTAAGACCTATTGTTACCTCATCCAATGTGTCTTACATATAGTTGGCAGTTAAAAGTGTTGTTTGTTTCACTCTTGTTGTAGCTGATTATTTTCAAGTGTTTCTATGGATAGGGTTTCATCTACCATGAACAAGGAAGAATGAATCAAACGGCTAAAACTGGTAAAATGCACCAAAATGAGGCAAGAGGAAAAATGGAAGAAAGATTGAAGATACTATTAGGAATTTTCATCAGTATAAACATAATTGATCCATAAGTTAAAATGCTTTACAGCAAGCTTCTTTACTACAACCTTATCTTCCAACCCTTTCTGAGGACATATGTTAGACTCAAGAAACAAACACACTCTAAATAAATGATAGAAATAATCTGATTTGTGGGCTAGTTTTGAGTACAAACACAAGGTTCCCCCCTAACACACAGTGCTTTGCCCCTAACAAGGAGTTTCCTCTTCAAAACACAAGGAATAGCAATCTGACACCTTAATTTACAAGTCCGTAACACAACTGATATATCACTATAACTGTCTTGTTTCTGACCTATAATTGCTTGATGCAAATTTTAATATAAAAGTAACAGCTCAATAACTTCCTACTACAGAATTATAACTTCCTAATTCTGAATTTGGCCTATCTGCATACAGCAACTTCTCTTATGTTTAATACCTTGATGCCAATACTCTGTTGTGTTTCTGTCTAAATTTGTTCCAAAAAAACTATCTGTAACAACTTTGAATAATTAGAACTTTCTTTTTTCTTAAAGCAAAGGTACCCTGGCTTAATCTTAGTAATAGATTTCAACTGGATACTTCTAAAGCCTTCCAGCAAGCCTTACTCTTAATATAAATGGTTTTTCCCTTTTGGATGTTGTATGATTCACAAGGAATCCAGAAAGGGTGATGCTGCTGTACTATAGGCAAGCTTGATGTTTCTAATCCCGGGTCTCAGTTTGCTGTAATAATCAAATTTATTAATTTTTGTGGAAATGAAATGGAAGGCTCATGAGTTGGAGGGTAGAATGTAGTAACCTTATCGATATAGATTGGATATCAAGGTCAATTGGCAGCTGCATCTGAGTGCCATTTTCATTTCTTTAGTAGTAACTGCCTTTTTGAGTTTTAGGAGCACCTTACACGACTCTAAACCCAAAGAATATTATTGACAGCTGAATATTTAAGGGAAAAATCTTAAAATTTATAGAGAGAGCTGTTCAATTAATTCAAATAAAAAGCAGATTAATATTATTGGCTGAGATTTGAAAGGAAAGCAAATTTTAATGTAAAAATAGAGATTTGAAAGGAATTAATATGACAATTCATGGATAGAGTACCATGCTCAGGCGTTCTTTTTTATGATATCAACTGATCCAGGCTACCAAATTGACCTAGACAAAGATTAAATAGCTCAATAAACTTTAGGCCTTCAACACAGTATCTTTATTCCAATAAATTATTCTTTTAACCCCAGTGCTCCTTTCCTTTCTTCTTAGAATCTTGTATGATCTGAACAAGACATTCCATCTTACTTAGAAAAATGAATTATAGCCTTCTTTGAACACTATAAGGCACCAAACCTTTTTAAGTCTTAACTGAGTTGGAGTCCTGAAAATCACCATGCATGGGTAGCACTAGAAAGTTTACTGAACATTCACCTAAATATAGCTTTCTAATGTCCAGCCAACTTGTTTTGACGTTGTTTCTGTTTTTCAATAATTTGCAAAGGAAATTGTGAGAACGACATAATCTTGTTTTTACTATTTCTCATGAAAATTCTTGAAAACAAGAAATAAAGTGAAAACAAGGTGATAAGTTCATAATATTAATGAAAACATATCAACAAAAACCAAACACCCCTTACATATTCTTAAAATCATCTAAGACATTGCAAGAAACAAATCATGGGATAAACTATGCTGGTATTCTCAGAGGAATGCAAGGCCAAAAAATTTCAGATTTCAGTTCCCGAGAAGTCTGCTGATGTGTAAATAAATAATATAAGGAGGCTGATCTAAAGTCTCTCATTAGTGCAAGTTTTGTGCAAACCTGGGTTAAAGGATAGTTTTTCATATCTTATTTACAGTTAATGCATTTATTTTCATGTGATTGAAGAAAGATATTCTCCTGTCACAAGACTTCTACAATTACATGACCATCTCAGACCTAAAAGGAGATTACACTAGATGTTGCCATTAATGTATACTTATAAGAAACAACTTCCACTATTTTTTTTCCTTAATTATAAAAAACAAAAACTTTTCAGATGCATTGAATGCTAAATTCTTTTTATATCCTTATTTATTGTGCGATTTGTGTTAATAAGGTACTCACCCATTACCTATATAAGTGAATATATTCATATATTTGATGTATGAATCACCAATTTGACATTTTATTAGTATGCATATTTTTAGAATACAATATAAATTTATGGCCTTGTTACATTATTGACTCTGGTTTCTCAAAAATGGTTGTGTTACAGGACTTGAGGATGTAACGTCATTTCTTGAAGAGTCATTTCCGGATGTGGAAATAGCCATTGCCCATGGGAAGGTAGTTACTCCTTTTACGGGTCTACTGCTGTGTCCCAAGACCTAGTAGGACTGTCAGCAGATATCCAAATAGAATTATTAAGTTATTCATCATTATAGTAGCGAATGGACTCTCTCAAAATTACTAGTGCTATTAAATGGAAGTTTACCAATGATTTCAGTGCAAGCCTATAAACAAGTCTAAAATGAATTTTCAGACTTTATGTCAGAAATCTTGAAATTGGAGATATTAGATATAATAGTACAACACTTTTTGCTTAGGTCTGAAGCATGTTAATTTTGACTGAATACATGTACCCTGTAACTGAGCGTGTGGGTGGCTAAGTAATTACTAATGACATAGTTATCTTGATTTTTTAATTTAATATTTATTTTTCATGAGGAGATCTTAATCTTCCCTGCAATCGGCCTACAATCTGACATCTGTGCTTTGCTTTCTCATTTATATTTCTTTGATGGCTCTATAGATATTTTTACTCTGTCCTTAAATTGTTGAAACAAGTAATCAGTTTGTCTGTTGCACACATGACAGAGACTAAAAACAAGCTACCATCAGACTTGTAGGCAAGAATCTTTTCAATCTCTGATATTAATATATGTTTGACAAGTTTCTACCATTTGGAAGTTGCAATACAGTAATCTAATTATGGATATTAAAATGCTATTGTCCCATTCATTCTATCCATAGTGGAAGCACTATATTCTGGTGTGTAGCTTAGTATTTTGTACTTGTTGGCTGTCATTCATTAACAAATATAACCATTTAAGTGCTTGATGTGTCATCAACTATACTGTGCTTCTTTGTCAAGAACTTCTCATGAAGTGCAATTTTAGTTAATTCTTGCTTTGCTGAAGTATATCTGCTTCACTCATACAATTTCAATTGTTTCTTAACTTTCTTCCTTTTATTTAATGCAATTGATAGTGCCACTGCCAGTCTGCAACACACACTGCCACTACCATGATAAATGTCTCCTGAATTTTTTGAGGGCTCTAGTGCATCATATAAATACTCACTTCAAAATCTCTGTATTTATCAGCTTCGAAATTTGATTCTCTAGTATCAAAAGTGTATGTCTGCATCATGTATGTAGACAGTTGACAAACAATGATATTTTGACTTTGATTGTATGCGCATGACTGTATTTCTCTGGTGTAGCTATACTCAAAGCAATTAGAGGATACCATGGAGAAGTTTGCTCTAGGTGAAATAAAAATCCTTCTATGCACAAATATAGTAGAAAGTGGGCTTGATATTCAAAATGCAAACACCATCATCATTCAGGATGTTCAACAATTTGGCCTTGCACAGTTGTACCAGGTTTTGTTCTTCCTACTTTCATTCTATTATTTTTGGTTCATAAGTTCTCATATTCTCTATTGCTAACTCCAAGCATTGTTAAAAATTGATTATTGTTGATATATTTGTAATATCTTATGTATTGCACTGTCATAGGCTATAATGCCTGAACCAATACTTCCCTGCATAAAGATTAGTAGCATTTGTCAAGAAATTTTGGCTTGCTGCCTTCTTTGATTCTGAGTTCCTCTTTATATAGTACAAGGTCATACAGAGCTCTTAACTGTAAAACTTAAATTAGGAAGTCTAATTATATACACTTAAGAGATTGATTTTATTCCTAATATATATAAGAAACAATGATAGTAATAGATTCCCTTATTAACATCCCCCCTTAAATTGATGTGGCTGGTCAAAAAGCATCAATTTGCTTAAGAGAAACTAATGTCGAGGATGTGGAACAGCCTCGGTAAAGATATCTACAAGTTGAAGTTGCAAAGTGATATTAAGAAGTGACATAACTTGATTTTCAAAGGGCTCACAAATAGAGTGACAATACACCTCAATATGCTTAGTGCGCTCATGAAAAACTAGATTGGCAGCAATCTAAATTGCACTAGTATTGTCAGCATAGAGCAGTTTAGCAGCTGTTTGTGGAAAGCCAAGCTTAGTCAAAAGACCACGAAGCCTAATAACTTCAGAACAGCCATAGACATAGCTTGAATTTGATACTTAGATTCGATGGAGGACTTACAAACTTAGGATTGCTTTTTTCTTTTCCAAGAAATCAAGGCAGGATTGAGAGACATGCACCAACTAGTGATTGATTTCTGAGTATCAGGACAAGGAGCCAAATCTGCATCACTATAGCCAAGCAAAGTTAGAGGTATGCCAGTAGGAAAGAATAGATCACAATGAGAGGTGCCCTTCAAGTTATGGATAATGTGGCAAACAACAGTCAAATGAAACTGGTGAGAAGTGTGCATGAATTGACTCACTTGCTGAACTGCAAATGAAATGTTAGGACAAACGATCACTTTCATCATGATGATATTTAACATTGACCTCAAGAGGAGTATCCACCGAGCAGCAGAACGAAACCAGCCAAAGTAATCAAGATCAAGTCAGAAAAATACCCTTGGAATCTGTATGAACTTCCAAGACTCAAGAAATAATGAAGATAACTAAGATCCTTCATATGAACAGAGGTCTGAATGGATGCATGATCGGAACTAGTGATAACTATATCATGAACATAGATTAGAACAATACCTACTACTTTATGATGAATGAACAAAGAATAATCATATTGACTCTAAGTAAAAGAGAATCCAATAATGATGGACTGAAACTTTTCAAATCAAGCTCAACAAGCCTGTTGCAAGCCATACAAGGAACACTTAAACTTTTACATAAGTAGAGGAAAAGAGGTCCCTGAGGGGGAATCATTTCAATATCGTCTGTCAAGTCACCATGAAGGAAGACATTCTTCACATTCATTTGGTAAAGAGACTAGCCTTTAGAAGCAGCAATAATGAGGATTTTAAGACTGTAGTCATCTTGGCAATCGGCACAAATGTTTCATCATAATCCACCCCATACTCTTATTTGTTACCCTAAACAACCAATTGAGCCTTATAACAATTTGGAGTACCATCATAACTCAGCTTTATAAAATATATCTATTTGCAACCAATGGGTTTAACACTAGATGGACATGAAATTATGTCCCAACTCCCAAGTAAAGTTCTCTTGAACGGTGTGGAGCTCGTCTTGTGAGAATAGAAAGTTTGATAGAGTAGTAGTAAAAGAAGTAGGTTGGGAATCATACCTATCTTGTGGACAAGTCACCTGACTTGATTAGCACAAAGCTATTGGTGTAGCCTCAAGCAGCCAATCAGCATTGAGAAGTGGTGGTTAAGCTGGCATCTAACATACACGACCTAGTTTAAAAAGTTCTATAGAGCGAGAGACAACAAAAAAATTAGGAAGGGTAACAAAATCTATGTGTGTAAGAGAATGAGAAAGAAAAAAATATTGATGTTCAAAGAAAACTACATAAAGAGATATGAAAACGATGAGTACAACATCAAACATAGAAATCCTTTGTGAGTGATACTAAAAAAACACTTGTTGTGCCCAAGCTTATGACGGTCAGGAGGTGGTAAATGGACAAAACATGCACAACCAAAGGAATGAAAATCATTATAATTAGGATGAACATTAAAGAGACTAAAAAAGGAGAATCAAGACCAAGAATATGAGAAGGAAGACGATTAATTAGAAAAACACTTGCTGTCAAAGCTTCAAACTAGAATTGAGGGGGAATATAGGCTTGAAGGAGTAAGGATTGTGTGGCGTCCCAGTAAGTGTTGATTCTTTCGCTCTACAATGCCATTTTGTTGAAGCGTGTATGGACAAGAGCGTTTAGAAATAATGCCTCGTTGCTGCAAGTATTGCTAATATTCAAGGGAAAGACACTCTCATCTAGAATCAGAGTGCAAAATCGTAATGCTGGTATGAAATTGGTTCTCCACATAAGCAGAAAATTTCTTAAACATTGCGAAAACTTTAGCTTTACAGTGAAGAAAGTATATCCAAGTAAACCCTCATTTTTGGACGTATTGCAGCATTCTATTTGGATGTAACTTGCTGGCCTAATTCATTGGATTTCCTTTGGCTTTTAGTTCATGGTTTAATGTCATAATAGCTTAGGATATCTCATTGACTTAGTCAAGATCCAGTTTTAATTCTTTGGCTTTTGTGGTGGTCAAGCTTTTGCACGTCATTGGCTCCTCAGGCTTTGATCTTGAGATTTTTCTTCAAGAATTAATGGTGATGTACTTGGATAAGATTCCCTAAACTTGGTCGTGTGACCTTGCTAACCTTTGGATTCCTTTCTAAGTTGCCCTTTTTCGTTAATTCCTTTGCTAGGTGGTGAGCTTCCTTGTCACAGTTCTTAGCCCTAATGGCATGGATAATTCCTTGACTCTCTTTGACTCTAGCTTTTGTATTGCTTAAGCCTTTACACGTTGCTTTTAGCCAAGGTTTGGCACATAAATTTGGTCTCCCTTGGCCTAGATTTTTCCAAGTTCATTAATTGTTGTACTTTGGATAGGATTCCCTTAATCCTTCTTGTACAAGCTTTCTTAATGGTTCATTCATTTGGCTTTGGTATGGAAGGTTCTCTCCTATCTTTATGTCACCTTGTTTTGGTTGCATTAAATTGCCAATTCTAATTGGATTGCATCTAAATCTCCAGGTCACTAGATACTTTAGAACCTTCCTTTGTACTTTTGAAAATTTTTGGTTTAAGCTTGGATTTGGTTGGATGTTCCTACCACCTTCTAGGAGCTTCTCAAAGGCTGCATCAAATTTTAATTTGATTTGGCCTTTCCTAAGTCTTTTCATCAATCTATAATCCTTAGAAACTTCCTTGACAGTGGGCTAATTTTTCCACGTCTTTCTAAACATTTAATGTGTGTACTTCCTCCAAATTGTTCCCATTCAATTCTAACTAATACTTGATTCCTAACTAAATGAAAAATATATAACTTGGGCCTTTAAATTGATGCCTTTTTGGATGTAGGCTCGGTTCCTAAGTATGTCCAAGTTAATTCAACACTTGGCATACAATTCCCTTAGCTTTCATATGGACTATTAGCCTACCTTTAGTGCTCTCAATTTCTAAGTTGAATCCTAAGGTAAATATTCCTTACATACATCCTCATTTAACGAATAATAATGCAATCCTTGATTAAATCAATTAGACCTGTTTAAGTCCCTTAATACAAATTTCTATTTGATTAAATTCTAAATTAACTCCTACATTAATTTCAAAGCAATAAAAAAATTCTAATTAATTGAGATTACTAGAGGTCTATAATTAGTAAAATTAAGGATGTTATAGAACAAGCATGTTTATGATAACTATAAAGAAATTGAATGTGAAATGTCAAAATTATGGTGATTTAGGTAGAGAAGGAGGAAAAAAGGGATAAAAGAGACTGTGGATAATATTCTCTTATGTTTATTGAAGTGATACAAAAGAAAGAGCAATGTCCCTTCTAGTTGTTGTATTATATATTTATAGTTATTCTTAACATAAAATAATCCTTATATGGGATGTATGTTGGAGGAAGGGCAAAATGATATATGGCCCAATCTTGAACTGCAATTGCCAACATTGTTTGAGCGGTTTATTGCAGCTTTTTTGTCAAAATGGGGCAAATCGAAAAACAATTTCTCAAAATAGGCTCAAAAAATATTTCTTATTTGGGATAATTTTTGCCACGTCACTTCCAAGTATCGCACATGTAGCATGTGATAATTTTTTTTTTCCCCCTAAAAAACTAGTATCACACCTATAGGGGGCAATACTTATTTTCTAATTATTAAAAGAGATATATTGCCTCCCTAGGAGCCAATACTAATTCAGCATGGACCATTTGTCCAGGACCCGTCCTTGTTTTGGTTTCAAAATAAATGGTGAAGGCGCAAGGCATGCCTTCTTGTGGGAATTTCCAATCCCTGCCTTTTCTTGGGCTTATCAGGTTAAGCGCTCTTGTCCACCGCCCCTAGTTGCATGGCAGATAGAGGATGAGCAATACATTCCACTTTAAGGGAGGAGCTGAAAGCCTAGAGGTTTGATTACGAGATGTGGATGAAGGTATAAAAAAAATCTTCATGCCTGTGATATATGTACCCCACTAGACTAAATTAGTATCACTTCCTAGGGAGGCGATAATTATTTTTTAAATAATAAAAAAATAAGTATTACAACATACAGGTGTCCTACAAGGGAAATATTTATTTTTTAAATAATAAAAAAATAAGTATTACAACATGCAGGTGTGATACATATTTTTTTGTTATGAAAAAATAAATATTTCCCTTGTAGGTGCAATACTTGTGTATTCTTTTTTAAAAGAAATTAAGTATCACACTTGTAGGTGCAATATTTGAAGTGACATAGCAAAAATTATCCTAAATAGGGAATATGTTTTTATACGAGTCTATTT